CACACACACACACACACACACACACACACACACACACACACACACACACACACACACACACACACACACACTGTGTTAATCTAAGTTAAAAGCTAGATGGATACATAATGCCTCTTCTGAGAGCATGATCCTTTTCTAGAGAAATCCTGACACACACACACACACACACACACACACACACACACACACACACACACACACACACACACACACACACACACACACACACACACACCCGTTACCAGAAGCTCAGAGACTTAATTGCACGGGCAGCAAAACATTAATGTGATATGGATTAAACGGAGCTTTAGCAGATATTAGTGGTGCATCACAGATTCAGTTATATGTGAAGTTCAAATGAAAACCCCGGCGGACCTTTGGATGCTTCACCGCCTCATGTTTCCTCATGTTTCCATTAATGTAGAGGAAACATGTGTGACGCAGTAACTAAGCAGTTTCATCGAAATCTCAACATGGACTGGAGCGATGTTGAATTCAATGCTATAATAATTCACTAAGGAGATTTGAGTTTGTAGTTAAACAAACAAATATAACATAAATTCACATTTAACAAAAAGAAGAAGTTTTGTGATATTGCATAGATTCTCAAAAGCACTATTGGTTTTTAGTTTAAAGTTTGAAAATATATATGTAACTCTGCCAACAATATATTTTGGATTTACTTAATTATTTACCTAAAAACTCCTTCAAGTAATTGTTTAACTAAAACAGACAAATGTTAGTTATTTTAGCTCAGATCGCACACAAGACAAATAAATCCAGATTCCACTGTTCACAAAAATAGACTTAATAATAAAACCACAATCACTTGCTTAATATATTGCATCCTATTGGATATATATCTCAAATTCAATTCAATATATTTTCCAAATGATTCTGCCCTACCATGGGAGAATAAACATCAAGAAACACTTCACTTTGGATGATTACATTTTTGTAACATATCGATATATTTTTAAGTCCAAATAATTACAATTAGATTATTTTTAGAGCATGATAATGTTAACATTTGTCTTAGCTTATGTGTCCTGAAAAACCTAAACAAAGGATTGTTGTTGAAGGCATTTTAAACAATGTCAGGAGGGCCAATCTATACTTAGTACTGATATCTGGTTTTGCTCCAACTAATATAAAGACATGTGGCCATTAAGACACTTTCCGGATTAACTGAATACATTGAACTTCAGGTTATTTAAAACTGTAACCTTTCTCCTGGTTTTGCTCACTTTGACCTTCTTTCTTAACTTAATTTGGACAATTGAACAGTGCAAAGCTACACCACAACTCCACTAAATGACGTCTAGCTTTACAAATGTGCTGTTGCCTTCCTGACACGAGACAACCAGGAAGGGTTGGTGACCCAGTACGACGGGACAGAGGCTGCCATGTGGATAGGGAGTTTAAAATATACACTTTTCTTGTGTACGAGAGCTCTGTGAGTGCATGAAGGGGAAGTATGTCAGCGGGACGGATTATCACCGTAATCCATCAGATCATCCTGCAGCCACCTTTAAATAGAAGGCTGAGATGAGAGCAGGGAAAAGGGAGAGCAAGAGGTAAAGGGGAGGTATCTATCTATCTATATATCAATCAATCTATCTATCTATCCATCTATCTATCTATCGATATCATATATTATATATATATATCATCTAGGTAAAAGGGGGAGGTATCTATTTGTCTACCTACCTACCATCCATCCATCCATCTATCTATCCATCTATCTATCCATCTATCGATATCATATACCTACCTACCTACCTACCTACCTACCTACCTACCTACGTACTCAGTTAATGGGAGTCATTTTTATATTGCTTAAGTTTATAATCGTAACAGATCGAAAAATTCAGATCATTTTTCAATAAATGATTCCACAAACAACATAATTATTACATTCAAATAAATTACTTGTAGTAGATGAAGTACATTATTCAAAAGTTTAAATTCACTTTGAATAATAACACGGGAGAAACCAGAGCCTCTCTTTTTCCTCTCTCCCTCCTGACAGCCCGTCAGTTTCTCATGCAGCGCGCTAAACAGTGGGCGGGGCTTGAGGTGATTATGCAGCAGCTGATCTGACCTCTCTCTGGCGTCCGGTTACCCGTTCACTCACTTCCTCATATATATAATTCCTCATATATAAAGTCTATGGTTCACTCGCGTTTATGCCGATATCGATCAGATCCAGCTCTCCTGATCGGCCTTTATAGAGAGTACAGATCAAACTATTACGAGTGAATATCGGCCGATAATGATCGGCGGCAAATCGATCAGAGCATCGGACATTTTGACCGGCAGGTTTTGAATTTACCGGTTGTTTTTAGCTGGTAAAATTGAATAAAAACCGGTAAATTAAAAACCTGCCGGTCAAAATGTCCGATAATAATAATAATACCAGCTAACGGAAACCTGCTACCTGCCTGCCTGCCTGCCTGCATTCCTTAAGACATCATATAATAGTGTCTCCACTACGACTTGGGCTGTGACTCCACACACCTCTGATTGGTTGATTGTTTTGAACTGTCTTTAAATCATCCAATTAGCAACATTTTCCTTGCTTGCTGCAAAGAAAGAAAATAAAGAAAAATTACAG